CCAAAAACAAGTGCATCTTCCGTGTGTTTTGGAGAAAACAAGGGTTTCATATTATATGCCTTTGCAAGGAAAACAAAAGTATCAAGTTACAAAGTTGGCATAAAGAGCTAAATTGTCACGTTGGCTGCTTCACTGTAATGTTGAATTTAAAATGAACGAAAATCAACGTAAAACACCAGTAGTAATTTGTATGTAATTTTTGGACCTTGAATGAAAATACAACCTTGAAACATACACACTACTAAGGGGAAAAGCCCTCACAGACTATCAAGGTAGACACAAACCGGAACTGAACCGAACAGGGGTGAGTACTTATGGGACTACTGTGCCAGAGCTATCAACTGTGCTCTGCACTATCTGAGATTGTCTCACTAGTTATTAATTTGCTACCACTTGATATACTACTAAATTTTATACAATAAAGGCTTATCTTAAATGTGCATGAGTCCTTATTTCTCGGTTATGGTTCCAGCATGTTTCCTTATAGTATTTACAGCAGTTAGAGATCGAATTATTAAATGAAGACAACATCAAGGGAGCAGAATCTTTCTAACAATGGATTTATCTTCAGTTGTCAGAAGAATTGTTGGATTTGTTGTGTTTTACTTACCCATAGCATTCAAAGCAGTGCCTGTCATTGGCTATTACATTCTAGGAAACAAATATTACATGACAGCATTTAATTTAACAGAGGTAAAATATTGAAAAGGTCTTGAACAAGGTTTTTCAAATAATTCGCATGGATACAACATATATTCAGGTGGCATGGGTGAAAGAATTTGTTTTTAATCCTCACTGAAAAATTATGACCTTTAAAAGAAAATTAATGTTGAATAAATACAAAGTCAAGAGGTTTGTGTGCTTCAAGGTTTTAAACCCATTAGGGAAAGTGAACTGTTTTGGCTTTGGCTTAATATTTACAGTTCTAATATCCCCCCCATTAGGGTGGCTTGAAACAGTTTCCAGCATTTTCCAAGACTTAGATTTTTATGGGTCATTATAACCACTCTATATCGGTTGCTGTCACAATCATGATATCAAAAAAACTACCCAATCATGAACATGGTGTCAATTTCATGGCATAAGAAGTTAGCAGGATAGCATCAGTATGATCTGCTAACACCCTTAATTTTAGCTTTAAGCACTTATAACTCCAAAACAAGCTTGGTGACCCCCATTTTTGTGGGATTATGCAATATTATCCCATAATCATTGTGGGATTATCCAATATTATTGCATAATCACACATAGTCATCGGTCATATTGAAGGTTTGAGGATTTTATGAAACTTGAGAATCTTTCCCCCAGTGAGAGCTAATAGTTAATGAAGATAGTGAAAACTCGAGATGTAATCGGATCGTTGCATTTACAAAGTGGCAGACATACAGAACCGCCTGAAAGTACTCATTATTTTACCGAGGTTATGCTGCGGCCAATTCACAGATTAACACCGCGTTCTAGCCTCGGTAAAGATGCGGCGCGCTGAAATTTTACTGAGGTTTTACCTAGGTTTGCCGCGGCATACAATACTGCGGTAAATGGTAAGACGCAGTAGAGTTGAATAGGCTAAAATACCCTTTCTTTTGATTCATTAACTTTACAATGCCATCTTTCACGCTCCAGTGATAAATCATGTGTCCCTCATATTACAAAAAGGCCCCGCTGTAGCATTGTTAACTTCTTAAGAATCCGTTGTAAATATTGAGTAATTGCTATTACAGCATCTCCACAGTTCCACTTAAGTCAAGATACAACACTATCAAAATCAATAAATAGTTCGCTGTCGTCGCTGTTGTGTGCAAATAACAAGGCGCCATGCCGGCCAGTTTGCTTTAAGCATTTTCACCTTTGACGCGAAAATTTTTGTAAAAGTACCCCTTAAAATAAGAGTTTCCTCCAAATTATAAATTTTCCTCAGAGTACGGAAATTCATAGTTGAGAAGCGACAAGCGACATTACAGTTTTATAACTTTCACATGTTCAAACTTGTGTTGCATGAGACGTCACATTTTTGTATCTCGTTCACACGTGGCGCTTCGTGTTGAGAGTTGTTTATGTTGTTTTGTTGTTATGTTGTTTTGCATCAATCATGAGAATGTTTCAAACATCAGAATACACACAGCTGAGATTGCTCTTGTTTTATAAATCAAATGTGAAGATTGCTAAAGTTGTTTTGGAATTGTTCAGTGTTCAGTGTTTGCAGGAAGATTTTCATCACGTGCTATGCAATGAGTTGAGCAAGTGGCTCAAATTTCATTCACGAACAAACACTAGTAGTTAAAAAGCTGTATTTCATGATCTATTTTCTGTGCTCCTGATGATGAAAACGCAAATTATAGAACAAGCGCAATCGCAGCTTGGTTACCTTGGGAGGAATAATAATATTTCCACCGACAAAGAGACAAGAGGCAAGCAGGTGAAATACCGACAGGCTTCTGCCAGAAGTTGTTTATAATTATTCTCATCTGATTTATAGAAACTCTTATCGATTTGCTCTGAATTTGATATTGAATTCGCGATCAATGTAACGTTTACGGTGAGATAGAAACGAACCACAGAAACTGCATGTTTGGATGTCCTGGAATCCCAGATTTAAAAAAATAAACATGCTAGCGTGCGCGGGTGTTGGAAACTTGATTTAGTGAAATGTTTTGGTGTCCTCTTATTAGTCAATTTTTGTGTGGCAAAAGTGAAAGGAACAACAAATATCTTAACATCTGCTGAGCAATACCGTCGAATTACTAGAAACAGAACCGTTTTGTGAAAAAAGCGACCTTCTTGTGTCGCCTGGTTTGTTTTGAACGTTATGCAAATATAAGGCGTCACACACGATACATTAAGTTAACTGAGCCATTGCCGTCTATAAACTCACAATTGAATGTGTATTTTGAAAGAAAGAGGAATACACCAAGTAAATTTACAAGATTCTGATAGAGAAGTATTTTGTAATTGCTGGCATGCATGTCCATTTTACAATCGGTACTGCTACATTTTGCTGGCGAAAAAGCCGGCAACGCTGGATGCCCATGTTAACATTTCACGTGAAAGAGTAATCAATACATAGTAAACACTTTCTAACAAAAGAAATTAGCTTCTATTGTTTCTTCACCGCGGAACACCAAGTCTTGGTTGCTGCGGTGTGCGGTCACATCCGTCCAGGATGAGGTTGAGGATTTCGTCCCACCACAGTGAATTCACGGCAGAACACTTCGGAAAAGATGAGGTTTTACCGTGTTTTTACCGTGTAATAGTCTGCGGATCCACTCGGCTAACGCCTCGTGAATCCCCAGCTACTTTGACAATGTTATGACGAAATTCATGATCAATAACAGGACAGATGCATGAAAAACTGATGTCAATTTGTTAAACTGATGACGGCATTTTTGGCGATTTTCCAAAGACTTCCGACCACTTTGCGAAGATTTCCAAAGATTCTCCAAAACTTGTCTGAAGGTCACACAAACATTGCCAAACATTTTCCGAAAATTTCTGAAGATTACCAAAGATTGTGAAGATTGCTGAAGACTTTCGACGAAGACCCGAAGATGTTTTGATCATACACCAATGAATTTAAGAGCTTCTGCCTGAGAGACTGGGGCAGACTTGGAAATGAAGGTCGGCCGATTTCACTTAAAATTGGTAGACAAAGTCATTATGTGGACTTATGTAATATGCCAAAGTTTCAGGTTCAACAACTAT